AAACCTTAACCCCTAAACCCGAAACCGCTTGATTCCTGGCTCTTGAGACTTTATTTAGGGTTTCGCGTCTCGGGTCTGGCGTTGAGGGCTGCGGGCTTTTACCATTACAGTTCAAACCCTAAAACCCCAAACTTCAGAGTTTAAACTTCAGAGTTTGGAGGGTTTAGCATCGGCATTTGGGGTTTTTAGGGGTTCAGGATGGAGAGGTTCGGGTTGAAGGTTTAGGGTATTTTTTGGACTCGGCGTTTGGAGTTTTCAGTGTATGGGTTTGGGTTTAGAAGATGCCTAAGGGATGAAGGTCTCAGGCCTCCGGCGCAGGATTTAGGTTCAATGTTCTAGCCTGAGGCTTGACCCAGGCTCAAGAGGTGAGGTTTAGGAATGCAGAGTTGGCAACTGTAGGGTTTTGGGGGGGGGGGGTTGCAAGCTGCTTCGTCCTGTTGATGGGTTTCGTCAACTTAGCCCCGAGTTCCTGCACCCTGAACCTGCCCTGCCTGCCTGCCTCCTAGCTACCTAGCCCCTGCTCATGTATTCTGCCTGCTTTCCGTCACTCCACCTGCTCAGCCACCCATCCTGGATGTCTGCATGCCCCCCTCGCCTCCTTTTCCTTGTCTTGCCCTGCCTTCCCTGCCATGCCGTGCCGTACCATGCCATGTCATCCAACCTGCTACATGTCTACCTCTCTGACTTCGCTGGCCTGCCCCTCAACCTATCTATACATCCCAGAAATCAAAGATAGACACATATCTGAAGCCCTGCAGATGTCCTCAAACGAGGATGTAGGTCTCAGGGGGTGCAGGTTTAGGACATCAGGTTGGAGGCCGTGGCAGTTTCGGTTGGCCTCCAACAAGCCTGCAGTCACTTGAGTCTGCTTGCTCCTAAGCATCCCAACGACCATTTTCTGTGGCCAGGGCATCTTGTCTGAGCCGAAGGATTTACGATCTTTGCAGGATGAGGCAGGGCCGCTAACATCATGAATGTTACGTTTGTCACCCCATGCCCGCAGCAAAAGCAAATCCAAACCTGACCACGCGGAATAGCAATAGTATGCCAAGAGGCGCAAGCAGCAGCACCTGCAACTGTCGTGGGGCCTTGGGCTTTTCGCCATAGTTTGGGGTTGGGGTCTTCCGGACTTGCGGTTTGGAGACGGGCTCCCGAAGCCACGGCACTCAGGTGGGACTCAGACACATGAAGCAAGAATGAAACGCACTGCCAGGGCTCCTCTGTGTTCCTACCTGCAACAGCCACCCTGTGCCGCAAGCATCAAGATCGAAGCCCCACCCGCAAGCATTATTATCGCCTATTTTCAAGGTCTATGGCTGCTTAGGCTAAGATGGCCTACTTCTTACTTGCGACAAGTATTATATACCCAAAACCATGGTGTCAAAATTCCAAACCCCTCCTTGAAGCCCGAATCTGTCATCTCTCTAAAGCCCTAACTCCCGCATGAAGCCTTGCAAAACCCTAGAATACCCAAAAATCAACCCGAACCCCGCAAGATAAGTACTTCTCAGCCCTTCCCTTCAACAACCTTACAGGAACCTGTTTACCAAAAACACCTAAGCACTAAACCCTAAGACCAATCGACTGCAGACGATCAGAGGCAGATGCCTTCCTTGCCGAAGCGGCGAAGCCGCTGCCGGCGCCCCTTCGCCTCACCGAGGTCTTCCTGCTGAGGGTCTTGGGGGCTTTGCGCTGAGGGTTTTGGGGATGAGGTTCCCCAGTGGTACCCTTTTGCAGTTCCTTTACGGCCCTTATGGGGTTACTGGGGAACCTGCCGGTTCAGGGCTTAGGGTCTTTGGGGGTGTAGGGTCTTTGGGTAAAGGGGTTCTACCAGGGTACTATCAGGGTTACCATAAGGTATGCCATAGGGTTCAGAAGTTTTAAGTTCGAAGAGGCTTATGTTTTTTTTTCGTTTGCGGGTTTAGGGGTTTTAGGTGGTTTAGCGTTTGTGGGTTTGGTTGTTATGGGTTCAGGATTTGGGGGGCCCGAGTCCGGAGTTCTGGCATTTTTTAAATACTAGGTCACATACGGGGAACAGAATGTAGATCCATTGGATCTTTGCATGTAATATGGGGTTTCTGAAAGTTCCGATTCCGTGAGAGGCTGAGTCTTGTGGTTTTCTGCTCTTTTCGGCTCCAGGTTGCCGTTGGTCAAAGGTTTTTTGGGTGGACATTCCAATCCCTAAACCCTAAACCCTAATCCCTAAACCCTAAACCCTAAACCCTAAACCCTAAACCCTAAATCTAGTCTTCCTGTTTTCGACCGTGTACCTTAAATCTCAAGCCCGCAGTGCAGAATCCTCCATCACAAAGGGTTTAGGGTTTAGGGTTTAGGGTTGGTTTAGGGTTTAGGGTTTAGGGTTTAGGGTAAAGGCCGTTAGGACCCTTCCAGCAAATAAGCCCTCCTACGGAACCCCAGTGTAACATCCATCTACAGCCTGTGTAAATGCCGTTTGGAACCCGTATACAAGCCCGCATAAAACCCTACAGGATTATACAACCGTATAGACCTCCGAATGAAACCCTATTAAAGACGCTTCGGAATGCCCTGTAAAGCCATCAGCCAAACACCGAAACAGACCGTGAAACATGCTACAAAGCCCTTACACCCTAAACCCTAAACCCTAAACCCTAAACCCTAAAGTCGTTCCGCGGGAAGGCAGATCGCGCCCCGCTCAGCGCGGAAGCGCCGAACTCTGGCAGTTGCGCGCCTGCGATTTCGGGGGTCCTTTCAGGGTTGCTATAAGAGGAACTATAAGAGTTGCTAGAAATCCACCAGAACCCTCAGTCGTGAGTCCGTATAGAGCTTCCCCCAAAGCCCAAGTGTAAACCCCAAGCCCTCTAGCACAAACTCCAGACCCGTAGCCCCACATCGTAAACCCTAAACCCTATAGAACCCTATATAACCCTAAACCCTAAGCCCTAAATCCTAAACCCTATAAGCCTTCTAAGCCCTTTAAGCCCTTTAAGCCCTATAACCCTATGAACGCCCTAAATCCAAGCCTGTCCCAGGCTTCGCTCCACGCGGGCGGCGCGCGGCGCCAGGCGCGCGGTGGAGGGTGGGAAGAGCCCGAGAGAAGCATAAAAACAATGGGTCTGGGGTTTACGGTTCATGACAATTAAAAAGGGTCACAAATCGGGTGTATGAGAGCCCTAAACGGACGAAGGAAATCGGGGAAGACGTTTGAGAGGTTACTGTTTTGAGGCTCTGTGGAAGGTGATGGAGCGCTTATGACTCATTCGGGGGTGTCTGCTTGAGTTTTTCCGCAATCAAGGTTGAGGGTTTGGGGGACTAGGGCTGAAATGGGTTCTTGGGTTGGGCAACGATTGTGGAATTTGTTGAAGAGTTTAGGCCGCTACCATAGTCAAGCGTTTGGAATCCAGAGGGTTGTCTAGGCGCAGTCCTGGAAAGCAGTGCTGTTAGGGGTTCCATGTTCTGGAACAAAGCCGCCTGAAATTGCTGGGCACGTGCTTCGTAGGGAAAGACAGCATCCGATGCACTGATCAGGATTCAATCTGCCATATCCAGGGAAGCCGAGCAATGTAGGGTTGGTCGCCCTCCCGCCGTTCAACTGAGAAATCATCCGGACGGCTTTTCGCCCAGCATGCAGCAACTCAGTGTGAAGCAACTCAGTGTGAAGCGCCACTTTTGTGATGCAGCGTGGACGCACTAAAGATACAACAACCAGATCTATGAAACATGACACCTCAGTGTGAACTGCTCAGTGTGAAGAGGGCTTTGTGACGGTTACGTGAGGATTACAGACTGGAAGAACCTAAGGTTCAGTGATCATTCAAAAACTGACGCTGAGTGAGCTGTAGCATGAATATAAGGAAGTAGGTTAGCACCGACGGCTTGGGCACTCATCTGGCTGCAAGTTCAGGTTAAACAGAATGGTGGTTCCCGAGACGTGCAGGATGGAGGATGTGGCAACTTAGGATTGAGTTAGGGCGCTGTTTAGCGAGTGCGTGATTTGGGGTGTTGGGCTTCAGTGTTTAGGCATTCGGCGTAGACTATTTGGGTAGAACTTGAGGGCTGGAGGCTCAGCTGTTCTGCTCAGCAAGGTGCTGGCAAAGCTTCAGGAGACGGCGCGGCAAACTCAAGGCAAGCCAGTACTGGTGCATTGCTGCTGTCACGATTTCCATCATGCTTTCTGGTGTTTGGACACTCCGAGCCCATGATACAGCAGGGAATGCTCTGTTGTGCTATTTCGTTTACTTGTTAAGATTTATAAAATCTAGTTCATCGCACATTTCGAGCATGCAAGCCCTGCATGCATATGCATTCTGTTTAGCAGGTGGCTTATTTCTTTCGTTTCCCCTTAAGGCCCCAACCCGAGTCCGACAGCCACGAAGAATCCTGATGTGGAGCAGGTTCCTGGCGGCTAACTTACCAAAAAGAGTACGAGCACTGACCAAGGCACTCCCCTTGATCCATCCGTCCGTC